TGCCCTTTGGACTCACCAACGCACCGGCCACTTTTCAAGCCGTGATGAACGATATTTTCCGCCCTTGGTTACGTACTTGTGTCGTGGTTTTTTTTGACGATATCTTGGTTTATAGTCCCTCGTGGTCTCAACATCTCACTGATCTTTGTACCGTATTCCAGATTTTACAAGATCACTCTTTCGTGGTTAATAAAAAAAAGCGTTCCTTTGGTCAACAATCACTTGAGTATTTAGGGCATATTATTAGCAACAAGGGGGTGGCTATGGATCCAAAGAAAATCGAGGCGATTGTTACATGGCCGGTACCCAAACAACTCAAGGGCCTAAGGGGTTTTCTCGGCCTCACCGGGTATTACCGTAAATTCGTTCGCCATTACGGTAGCATCGCCTAACCTCTTACGGACCTCACACAGAAAGACTCATTTCAATGGACGGCGGCTGCCCAGACAGCCTTTGAAGCTCTTAAACTGGCTTTGATCTCGGCTCCGGTTTTGGTCTTTCCGGATTTTCAGTTGCCATTTGTGGTGGAATGCGATGCCTCGGGTACGGGTATTGGAGCCGTCTTAATGCAAAAACAACAACCAATTGCTTATTTTAGCAAAGCTCTTARTGATCGGAACTTGTCCAAATCCGCGTATGAACGAGAAATCATGGCCTTAGTTCTTGCGGTCCAACATTGGCGGGCATATCTTTTAGGCACTCGTTTCACGGTATACACGGATCAAAAAAGTTTGAAATTTTTACTTCATCAACGGGTCACTACTCAGTGGTTGGTACAATGGAAGGATAAGACCGTGGAAGAGGCAACTTGGGAAGATGCAATTTTGATCAAAAGTCAGTTTCCTACCACAAGTCTTGAGGACAAGACTTCTTTTGAAGAACGGAGTATTGATACGGATCCAGTTATCATGGGTCATAATCTACCCAAACCAAGTATTACTAAAGTATATTCTAGAAGGGGTAAAAGGGTAGAAAAGGAAAGTGGCTAAATTGGGTTGGTTAGATAGAATCTTTAAATAAAGGCACATGGGGGAAAGGAGAGGGCATTCTGTTATTTGTCTAATTTGTTAGAGGCTCCTAGCGTTAGCTGGAGAGAGGGAATTCTCCCTGGATATTTTGTTCTTGTATTTCCTTTTCTTATCATTTCAATTCCATACATCCGACTTTCTCCCTTAATCATCTGTTACCTTTCTTCATTAATTTCTGAATTGTAACAGTATATGTATATATATATGTATGTATGTATGTATATATGTATGTATGTATATATAAGTTCCATGACTCATAGCATAATATTTTTGCAAGTCAAGGATGATGTATATGGTGTATGTGATGCTGAGCCTTGTCAACTCTAGTCCTCTCTGCTCCTCTCTCCATATAGTAGAAGATGCATAAAGTTCCACCCTTGAAGCCAACACCTAGATAGAGGATTGGCAACTGGTCAACAGCTGTGCATTGGTAGTGTACAATGGAGCAGGAAAATATGTTTTTCCTTACAGTGCAATGGTGATCTTTATTATGTTTATCAGAAGACAAATAATATCCACGTCATTGAAAGAGATTCAAATTTACGTGAACATTCCACAAAACGAGACAACTGATGATGACACGAGGATTGGTAATAAAAATAGCACATGTCATGGTGACCAACGAATAATTGGTTCATCGTTGCCGGGTGAAATTGTTGATTATTAGGGTGATTGACGAAAATCAAGAACACAGTTGCAATTTGATTTGTTGGGAAAGGCTGACAAAGCAACGCAATGGAGGAGTTTGAATAACTACAAGATGATAAAATTAAAGAAAACACAAGATGGCAATCTTTAAGATTGAACGAGCCCACATATCAGTTGCATGGTATTTAAATTTGCTAAAGACAAGAAGCACAAACGTGTTTCTACATGAGCCCCTTCTTTACGCATCCTCATGTGACCCATGCCCCATATTCATGCTATCTTGTTTCTTTTCTGTTAAAATTATTAACCTTAACCTCTTTGTAAGTTACAAACTCCAATTGATTAGTGATGACTGTCTTATTTTTCTGTAATAATAAAGGCCTCAAATAGGGAACCATATTGAACTGAAATACAAAAAGGTAATAGATTCTCCACAATCAGTCCTTTTGTTTAGTGAAATTAGCAGCTAAGAACACACAACAGACAACCATTACTAAATCCATTAAATCTTATATAAAGCAGAAATAAAGAATGCGAGAAGATTAAAATATATAACCATCATTCCATACTCAACCATCTCAAAAACTAGAGGAAAATAACTTTACTCAGTTCTGAGACATTTCAGTTTCAAATTCGATAGCCTTTAAAGCACGAGACTGCAAGCATCAAAGCCGGTTTCTATATTTCAAACTAGAACCCAAGTAAATCTGTGATCCACGATTGCTGATTGGCTTTCACTAATGCCTCTAGCATGTGTCAAGAATACCACAATGTTTTCTTTCTTATGACCAAATATCAGGGGGGTCAATAGTGGCATGACAACTTATATCTCTGCACTGATGAGAGGCAAGGCAATAGTACACAATGGACATCATACAAAGTTAACTTTTTTTTTTGAACGGACATCATACAAAGTAACTTATATGTGCATAATAGCACAAGTAGACAAATCCCCTACATGACAAAAATAGCATGCATAAAGATGACTTTAAATTCTAACAGAACAATTAATTTTGCAAGCCAATAGTGATATGCTTTCAGATAAATAAGCATTTAGAAGCCACCAAAAAATTATTGTTTCCATGATATTATACAGCATGAAAGGAATTACCTTGTGCACCCATTAAGAAAAGACTCAAGTTACAAAGTTATTTTAGCCCATGTTCAGACATTATAGCATTCAACCCTGTTTTGAAAGAAGACATTTTCTAAATCACCATTTCATGCTATAGAAAGCACAGGAAGAATCCAATCATATACACTAGATTTTTTTTTATCAAATTCTGAAGTCCTGCAATTAAACAACGTAACCAAATACATAACCAGTGCATCTAATTCCTAAATCCACAAAATAACACTTATATAATGCACATAGATTCTGGTAGTAGTAATTTCGTTACCACAAATCTTGATAGGAGCTTCAAGTTCGAGCAAATTAGGCTGGCTAAGAAACACCTCCTTCGAAGCAGCACAAAGCTGCCGAATCTCCGCCTCCGTGATCTGCACCTGCTTCGGCACCCGACCACCCTTCGCATCCAAAAGCTTCCTGATAATCTCGTCAAGTATAGCTTCCTCCATTCTTTTCAAAACCTCGCAAACAGACTCTCTACTATCTCTTCTTGTGTATCTAAACCGACTAATTTATTAAACCTTATCAACTCGCCTCCGTCTTTTTGTTACAAATTTCAAAACCCTAGCTGTCTCTACTTGTATATGTGTTTATACACCAATTAATCAATTAAACACCGTGTATGTTCATGCAACACGATGCTTATCTGGTTTTCCGGTAACGGCGATGATGTATGTCTCTGTGCGTTGCGGTGTTTTTAGATTCTTTCTTTGTATGACACGCATTTAGGCACACGTACCGTGCGATGGCAGAGATAAAGTAAGGTCGGTCGGTCGGTCTCTATGGAAGATTACGGTGGTGGACGGTGGTTCGCCGGAGAGGAGTGAAGCGAAGGGGGCTGAAAGACGATGATTATGGTTTAAAAGTAGAGGGAAGACCTAATAAAAAGCAGAGACGAACCCTATCTCTAATCGGGAAATAGGTTTGTTTTGTGCCACCACTAATATTTAATATTTTGACATTTTCTTTTAATAAAAATATTTGTCGCTTATTAAACCCAATAATAATGAAATAAAATAAATAATAATAATAACAAAAGTAAACTACAAGTTTGGTCCCTGTAGTTTGTAAAAAAAACATTTTGTTGGTTACGATAGATTTACAATTACAATATGGTAATTGTGGTTTGAAAAAACGTCCAAATTTAAATCTTGTCAAATAAGAAGCATTTTCGTCTTTTTGTGTTTTGTTGTCTTTTAGCCAATCAACAATTAAGGATGGTAATTTGTCTCGACCTGATAGGGAATCCGGCTCACCCGATCCGAACGGGGACGTGGATTCCCCGCTAAAACGGCTTCCGGGACCGGGGTTGAGGATCTCCGGTAGACTCAAACCTAGGACGAAGCCTGGTCGGAGGATGTTACTCAAACCGGGGCTAGGGATCTTCAATAGACTCAAACTAATAGATATTATTCATGGGTTTGACCGGAGTTTGATCGGGGACGAAATGTTAATCCCCGTACCGGCCAGGGACCGGGGCCAAGGACTATTACTAAAAACTGGGGCCGGAGATTACAAAACACGCCCCATCTCCACCCCGTTGTCATGCTTATCAACAATGATTTCATGATTTTGGTACATATGGTTTTTGATTAGGTAAAAACAAAAAATCTATTAAAAAATAAAATTTTAAAAAAAATGCCTACATTTAAATGAATTTTTTAACGGCTGTTAAAGGATCAAACTCGAACATTTTTGTAAACTATGATGGTAATTTTATAATTTTAAAACTTTAGGGATGAAAAGTGCTATTTTTGATAAACTATAGGGACCAAATTTATAGTTTACTTTTAATAATAATGATAACGTAATAATTAAAAGCTAGCCGACTCCCCAAGTGACAATATCGCAACAAACAATTTTCGTCGTTTTCATGTTCATTTGTATGTTCTTAAAGGTTTCTTGTAGTGATATATTCGGAATTTTTATCAAGTAGATGTATCTTTAAAGTGGATTAAATATTTGTAAAATTATTCAGTTTTTTTAATTAAATTCTTTTATTTTAAATAATTTTTTAAGATTTTTAGTTGATTTCAAATCTTTAATTATTTCATATGATTTTTTCTGTAATTTGATTGGTTTCAAGAGACATTTTTTGTTTTTTTGACTGATATCTCTTGTATTTTCTAATATTTGGTGCTCCTCGTAATTTAACATGTACACTTTTAATACCCAAAAAAGAATCTACTTGTGAAAAATGATTGAGTGGGTGCATAAGTCCCAATTGGGGCCTTTATATATCCGCAGATGGTTTTTTGTTTGAAGTGGTGGGTTTAAGGAAAATTTTGAACGAGGATACCAAAATTGTTACAGATAAATAAAAAATTAATTATCAAAAACGCAGTTTAATAAAAATGACATACATGTGTTTGTCGTTTACTAAACGTTTATCCAGTAAGTGTTTATCGGGTAATTTTTTTTTACTGGATGAACATGGTAAGGGTTTAGAATCTTACCCGGTTAGAGCGGTAAAATGATGGAGAATCTTACCCAGTAAGTGAGAGTGACGACTCTTACCCGGATAAGCGTTTACCGGGTAAATTGTTGCAGACTATATCGTTTTGATGCACTACAATCTTACTTAGAAAAATAAATTATAGTGTTGACTCCTATTGGTAAGTACTTACCGGGTAAGCATTTGAGTAAACAGCTCCTTAATATCTACAGAGATTCGAAGTTGTAAATTGTAATATCACATGCAATGACGCTACTAGTAGGCTACAACGACTTTTTGTTAACCTGGAAGAACACACATAAAATTGAAGGGGGTATAGCTTTAAGGCCATTTTTCATTGAGTTGAACGATAGAATGGACTATGAAGGCACGATAACCCCCTACACTATTGTTTATTTATTTTTTTGATTAACTTAGATATATCCAACCCGTTATACAAGCCGACTAATCCCATGGCGACCACCTACTTTGCAGATAGCCCGGAGTCACAGCATTTAAACCTCCGTGGCCACAAGAGGATTTTTATTCCTCCTTGGATTTGAACATGAGATCTCCTGGTACTTTTGACCTTTGGAGTCAAGCTCAAACCAATCAGACACCACCCTACACTACCATAAATAAATCATATACCCGTATAAGGTTCTTGAGTGTACATATTGAGTAATTATCATAAATTTAAAGGTAGGCCGAAAAGGCGACTATCGACCCACCCTCCCCCACCCCATACCGACAACAACCACAAAGGCCACAACTCCCTTGCCCATCCCTGTCACCCATCTCACCGCCTACTGTTCACCTCTTGCACTCCCTTCCAGTCGGTCAATGAAAAACTCTCCCCTTTTATAATTCAGAATTTTTTTAGTTTTACCATCAAGATTTTATTTTATTTTATATTTTAACCATAAATTACTGGGCAGTAAAGAGTATTATGATAATTTGACGTAATTTCGTTGGGAGGTGAGTTTGATTTATGTAACTTCTATGGTATCGATTATGAACGTGTACGTATGATAAATACATCAAAAATCTAAGCAGGGTTTTTTCTAACAACCCATCATGTATTTAGCAAGAATTTTGAGTTTTTTTTTATAAGTCCTAAGCGGTGGACTACAATTTTTTATCAGGGTTTTAAATTATTTTATAAACCGTTAGGCTCTTCTGCTATTTTCAAGATCCTACCCAGAGATGTTCCAAACTTCCAATGTGATATACAAAAGGGCACCCAAATTTATTGGGGCCGAATTATATATGTTTTAGCTTCAATTATGTATATTTTACGCTTTCTGTCGATTTCGTGATCTACACTGTCAGAATATTATTTTATCAAGTGAATTTTATATATTATTATTTTACTGTAAGACTATTTTTTTGTAGTTGTTTTAAGTTGTATGTCTTTTAATATAATATATGGTATTAACTTTTATATTTTGTTTTATTTTTGACTCGTCTATCGTTATAGAGTCCTGATACAGTTATAACAGAGCCTCAAAAAACATAGAACCACAATTATGTTACAGCTATTATTATTGACTTTTTTTTTGAAGTATATAATATTTGTATATAGAAAATGCAACAAATAAACTCACACACCCTCATCACTTTTGGTGATGATTGAAACTCTGACCTCTTAGGAGACTTAAGGACTACGCTACCGTTAGGTCAAGAACCCTTTGGTATTGTACCATATCTTTTTTGGTATAAGATGCAACGAGACATATAATAAATACGGAAAGAAAACCAAACCAAGGACCAGGTTGTGTACGATTACGAATTATATAGTTTTTATATGACATCATCAATTTTTGTTGAGAGTAAAACAATTCAACGATTTTGATCGTTTATTTAAAGACACTTTGTCAAAGAAGTGACTCATTCAATGCAAATATATATTATTAAACTCATACACAAACAATAAATCAGAGTTGGTAATGAACGTACTGAATCCACATCAAAAAAGGGCAATAATACAGATTTAATGCCAATCAGTTAAAATAGACGGCACATGTTGATACATGATGGCTCTCTGAGAACCTAGTTTTAGACTTAGACCATGGTTTATTATTTAATAAGACTGTTTGTTTTCTCTTAGTTAATAATATCATTAAGGGATTGTTTGTTTACTTCTTACTAATTCCCTTAAGAAGTGGTCTCTGAATCATTAAGAGGTAAATTTTGTTTGACAAAAAAAATGTCTCTTAATGGTTCTAAAACAATCTGAGTGATTTTGTATCATGTATCTCCCTTAACCATTCAACGCCCTAATTTCATTATAAATAATTATACTTTGATTCAGATTTTCAATATTCTAAACAAAATCAGTTCACACAAACGAAAAATCATGGTCAACCTCAAAACAGTCGAAAGTCTAATGGAGAAAATACAGCGTGCATATCTGGTCACACACAACATGTTCAAAGGAAGGTTACGTACTGCAATACATGAGTCAACTTCAACTTGTATCGTTAAAAACGTTCAATTTAAATTATAGTTTTATTTCCAAATAATCAGATACGGAAATTTATATTATATTATTGTTTCCCGGTTTATTTGATCTGTAAATTTTTACAACATTCTTTAAAGGGTTGTTTGGTTTAGGTTGAGAAATGAAAATGAAAATGATAGGAAAATAAAATGAGAACGGATTTTCATTTCCCTAATCTATTCTGAAATGAAAGTATGAGCTTTTAGGAGAATTGACTCTTATAGTGTATGCATCAAACGTTCTTTTATTTTTAATCTCATTAATTACTGTTTAATATCGCAGTCTAACATCTCTTATAAGTAGGCATGACAACGGGGTAGGGATGGAGCGAGTTTTGTAATCCCCGGCCTTGGCCCTGGTTTTTAGTAACAGCCCCCAGCCCTGGCCCTTGATTTATTTTATGGTCAAAGCCCGATCAAGCCCTGATCTTCGTCCCCGGTCAAGACCTATTTTTAGAAAATAAATAATATATATACATGTATTATATAAATTATATTAATAAAACTATATACTGGATACGAGACGGGTCGTGGGTACAATACCCTGCCCCGACCCCAACCCCGGTTTGGATCTACCGGGGATCCCTGTAGGGATGGCAAAAAAAAAAAACCCGAAACCGATGGTGAAAACGGGGACGGTGATCACCGGCCCGATTAGGGGTGCTCAAAAACCCGATGAACCCGACCAACCCAACCCGATTTTAAAAAAAAAAAAAAAACTCAACCCGAGGTAACCCGATGCATGATCGATAAAAAAATTTAGCCAACCCGACCTTATTGGGTTGGAATCGGGTCAGGCCCAAAATAAACCCGCCCAACCCGATAACCCGATGAACCCGACCTTAACTTTAGCTTTGAATTGTAGATGACAATCATGACATGACCAACCTCAACGTCAAGAAAGCGAAAGCATCGGGGTTGGAAACGTCTAAAACTATTGTTGTTGATTGATGTATTATCATTTGGTTTAAACATTTTTATTGTAATATCTAATTATTTGATGAACTTGCATATTATCTTGAATGGTCGGTCGTATTTCAAAGAAAAGTTTCTTTTATTTTTTTGTGATTTTACATTGTTTTAACACAACATGATAAGCCCAATCAACCCGATATGTATATATATATATATATATATATATATAATATAATTAAAAGAAAATACTAACATTAAAATTTAAAAGATTTTTATCGAGTTTACCTCAACAACCCAAATAAAGCTCACGAAAAAAATCTAGTTTATTTGTTTAAAATCGTAATTTTAGTTGTATGATGTTTGAATTCTTGTTTAGTTTTATATTGTAATATAATACATTGTTTGTAATTGGTTCGATTATGTTTGAGACGTTTAAACTTACATCTTTAAATAAATTGTATTTAATTGTGAAAATTAGCATATTGTATTTTTTTCAGATCGGTTTCAAGTTTCGGGTATAACCAACGGTGAAAAAGATGAATTTTACCCTTAACAGGTTCCCTAACGGGAATCGGGGAAACCGCGGGGACCCGATGAGGATTGGGGCGGTTACATGGACGGTTTTAGCTATCAGTTTCGAGGACGGGGATACCAATACCCGGCCCGTTGCCATTCCTAGATCCCCGGCACCCGTTTTAGTGGGGAATCCCCGTCCCCTTTTGGGTCGGGTGAGCCGGGTTCCCCATCAAATCAGAACAAATCACCATCCTTACTTATAAGTTAGAAAATAAACGGATCAAATGGGTTGTATAACAGATTAAAGGGGCAAAACTATTTTGTGTCCGATCGATACGTCTATCACTTTTTTATAATCTATTTTTGTAAATAAAGCAAGGAAGAGGAAGCAAAAAGTGTTTAAACAACTTCCGTGTAATAAAGTTTCTTGGTCTCGTTTTATTCGTCTTTTTGGCAAAAGTCTAGCTTCTATAAATAACTTAAATAAATTTTACATTTTATTTATTATTTTTCGAGTAAATTACATGTTTCATATATTTGGATATATGTTTTTAACAGTCATTGTTTCTTTTTTTGAGAATTCAACTGATCGTGTCTCCATTATTGCATTTTTACAACGAGTTGAATCCTTAACGCAATCACAGAAACCCAGGTTGTTGGATCGAACGCGTTGAAAAAACTGCAACTACTAAGACCTAACTCATTAAAAAATAAAAACATAGGGATGGAACTCGTTAAAAACGCAACTATAAGGACGTGTTTCATTAAGTTTTCAAAAAAAAAATAGAAATTGTCAAAACACCAAACTTCAAGGACTAAATATGTAATTTACTTTAAAATGGATTTCGATTATGTCACTTCCGCTGCCTTTTCTTACCAACAAAGGAAAATGATACACGTAAAAAATACGATAAATTATTTTAATTCATTAGAAAAATATTTTTTATTCAAATAATTTAAAGTGAGGTCTCACCAAAATGCTCCACAACAAGTTAGAGCATTCCTATTTTTCTTTTTTATTAATTTGGATATTCAACTTCTTATATAAATTCACTAATCATAGGACGATCATTTGTTTTGCAGGTAGTCCATAGTCACTGTATTTGACCCTTCGTGTCCATAAAAGAATTTTTTATTCCTACCTGAATTTGAACATGAGATCTCCAGACACTTTTGACATTTGGAGCCCAAGCTCAAACAAATCAGACACCATCATTGAGGTTGCTATTTTTCTTCTTCAAAATCATTAAAAAAAAGTTTTTAAAATATTTAAGATATGGGTACAAACGAAATTTATATTATTTTATTTTTTTAAATCCAGGCCGAGTCCTTTATGAAATGGGTGGAGTAACATAAAATATAGCTAGAAGGGTTATTTCAATAGCAACGTCCAAAATGATGACTTTTTATATCAATCATTTGAGGTTCCTCAAGCTTTTGAAGACACTGATGTGAGAGGGAAATAAAAGAAAAGACTGATTATGGTGGGATCAAGACGTTTTTTACTATTTGACTATTGCAAATGCTCTTAGGGTCACGTGAAGTCAGACTGTTTTTGTGAGACCCGTGAGACCATCTAAATAACACTCCTTCCCAGCAAAAAACATTCACAATGTTTACCTTTACAATGTCTTTGTTGTGAAGGTTCGAGTTTTTTTACCTTCACAATATTTTACTGTGAAGTTTCAAGTGTTATTTTGTGGTCTATAGGTTCTCACGAAAATAGGTTGGTCTCACGTGAACTCAACCCAATTTCATATGCCATAACATATGCAAAAACCAGAAGCATATATACCATAATCTATGCAAAAACCACATACCATAACAGTAACTTCAGTTCCATACACATCTCTAGTATGTAGTCCATTACTACATTCTTATCTTCAGAGTCATCAAATAGATCAAAACCATCAACCAACTCATTAGATTCACCACCAACTGTGTAAACCTCTATGAAGTTGCTTTGAATCAGCCACGATGTGTGCACCATTTTTGTTAGGTTTTAGATGAACATTAGAGGATCGAAATGATGAATATTGTTGTAGGTTGAAGAAGAAGATGAAGGGTTTTTCCATGATTTGAATAACGTGACCAGGAAGCATACAAAATGGATTTTCGATTTGGGCTCTTTGATATCACTTCAGAGGGAAAGTTTTTTTATTATTAAAATATTCAGTGTTTTTAAAATGACAAATATACCCCTCAGATAGGAGAGCACACTAGGGGTCTAATGGCTCCAAACTAACTTAGTTTGAAGGAGGGACCCAATCTGCAACGAAATCAAAACCACAATGACCAAATTTGTAATTAGTTTGTTTAGGGGATCCAATCCAAAATTCTAATATAACCACATGGACCAATCTGTAATTTACTCTTTCTATTTTTTAAAAGAAAATGTAATTAATGGGTAAAAGACAAAAATATCCCTGATTGAACATAAGTAAAGTTAATGAAGTTAAAAGCACGGACCTATTCCATAACAAAAACTGAAACCACAATGAAGATACATGTAATTATTTTGTTTGAGGGACCTGATCCATAATTTTCATATAACCACAGGGACTAAATTTGTAATTTACTCTTTTTAGGATAACTCTAGAGAGTAGAGATGGTTATCGAAATAAAGTTTGGACGTGGTCAATTTCGGCGTTGACCATCTAACATGCGTCGGACAAATCGACGAGGACGACTTTATCCACGCAAAGAAATGAGATTGGGATATAACACTTACACCCCTTATAGTTTATGTAATAGTTAAATATAACCCCAAAGTTTTTCAATAATGGTATAAATATTAATGATGTATATGAAATAATTACATTATTATAAAAAACAAGTTTTTTTTTTTTCAAAAATAGTTCCCTTTCGAAAAAGCTTTATAAAAATTGGTTGATTTTAAATTGTTTTACAAAAACGAATTGATTCAAACATATGGTATATTATTTAGAAAGATGAAATAATAATCACCTTCTATGAATTTGTTTGATTTAGGGGTTGTTTATCAAATTCTTATATGGATAAGTACTTACCAAATTAAATTACCTTATCGGATGAATATGACAAAGACCAAGAATCTTATTCGGTAAGAGCGAGCCAAAGACCGAGAGTTTTACCCAGTAAGTGAGGACAATGACTCTTACCACGATTATCGTTTACCAGGTAAATTGTGTTTTTATGACTAAAATCTTACCCGGTAAGTAAATGATAATGTTGAATTTTATCGATAAGTGTGTTTTCTTGAAACATAAGGGCTGATATGAAACTTTACTCTCATCTCCCTCTCCCCCTCTCTCCCCCTCTCTGTATTTATAGACACATGCCTCGTAGCAAATATCGAACAGTTTTAATCACACATCAAGACACATGGCGGATCCAGAGAGCCAGATGTCGCCGTTCAGGCCGGCCGGTATAAGGAGCGACGAACCACCGTTTACATCCACCGGAAAATTCACCAAACAGAAGCATCAGGAAAGCAGTAAGCTTCTCGTTTACGTACTCGCCGCCGTCGTCTTCCTTGGCACAGTCTTCCTTATGATTGCTTCAGTATTTCTACGCGTAAATAATCCTAAGCTCCGGTTAAGCTCTCCGTCAATTCAAAATTTCCAATACGATCAGAATTCGACATCTCTGAACATCACGATGTCGGCGAAGGTGACCGTCGACAACGAAAACTTCGGCCGGTACGTGTTTGAGAACTGCGACGCTGTTGTTTTGTACGGAAACTCTACAATTGGAGGAGGTGAGATTTCCGGCGGCCGTGTTGGAGCTAGAGAAACCAAATCGATTGATGTTGCGATGCAATTAAGATGGGAGAATCTGAATTTTAGCAACGGCGGTACTGATACTAACGAACTGATCGAGATTAGAAGCTACGCGAAGATGACAGGTAGAGTTCACGTTATGACGATTGTCGATAGGAGGAAAACAATTGAGATGAATTGCACGATGAATCTGAACTTAAACAGCCGATCGATCATGCATTCGTTATGCAGATGAGCTCGATTCACCACGGATCACGTACGTAGAAGTTCAACTTCCCAATTTTTTCTTACATCATGATTCATGAACATACATATTACATAGACAGATCAATCAAGCTGCTTATACTTGTAGGATCAAAACTCTTAAGAGTCTCAGGACGATATACTTTGATTCATATAACTTTTTGACCAATTAAGATACATGACATATTTTTCAAGTTCAATATTTCGTTCATTTGATCATCTTTCTTCATCTCATCATCCCTCTTTTGAATTTACAACAAGTGTTTCAGATAATTTTACAACACAAACCTTCGTAGCGTCCATGGCCCCACCCTATGTCGGTGCTCCTAACCTCTTATGACTGGTTGAACCCAATGGTCTTGGTTCGGTCCTCTAATTAGTGGTCAAACCCGATCACATGACCCGTTCTAGCCTTCTAGGTCTGGTTGATTAAGCCCGATGTTCTGTTCTCAAGGTCCGGTCTATAAGGCTCGGTCCATAATAATCTTGTGCAAAATAAATACTTTGTATGAATTAATGTAACATAAAAAAACAATTGTTTGACAGTGTTTTCAATGAGCTGTCTGAATAGGAAATAGAGTCGAAGCACTAATCAAATAATACAAGAAAACGGTCGAATCACATATGCCATATGGTAATCGGTTAATGTTTCAACCGGTTATCCGGATCTTACATATTTACAACTTTACATCTTAGGTACTGAAATGAAAGTTTCGAAAATAAATTTACCCAAAATGTGAGATTTTGAACAAGACCTCTAAAATTTGGGGCCTGATTTTACATATGATTAGGACATTTTCATCAATCTGTGTAAAGCTATAGCCCAAATTGTTTAGGTTCAAATTGTTAATTGTTTAGGTTTAGATATAAATGATTAATGGTTTAGATTTAAGTTAGGTTTAGATTATTGATCGTTTAAGATTAACGTCCTTTTGTGCTTAACATATATGTATGTTGTTATCTCTTATGCAACGTCATCAAAAGTTTTAGATGTAATAGGACTTTCAAAAAGATTGGGACGTCCCTTTTGTCACACAAAATCAATCTTGTGGACCGATTTAAACTCATATTAAACTCTACATCAAACAATAACCAACTCAACAACCATTTTTCGCTTTCTTTTCGACATTGCATTAAAATAAATACGTAAATTGATGTGACATATTTACGAACTTATATTTTGCGTTTCAAAATCGGTAAGTAGCAAAAAAAACATTCAGGAATTTCTTTTGAGTCGTTAAGTATGATAAAATCACATATCAACTAAAAAACGTAAAATGATCACAGATATTTATAAAGATATTTCACGACAGATATAATGTATCTGTCGTCATAAATTTTGAGTATACAGAAACATTAAGATTGGTCCCATAAGAACAAATTGCCTTAAAAATCCTTGAAAAAAGAATACACCTAAAACTTACAAAATTAAAGCTGGTATTAATGCATATATGGCATCTACAGGAGAACTGAAAAGTCAGTGAATCATATAATTCAAGCAATTCATTATCAACGTTAAACTTCCGTTTTGATGTCATTTTCGAGTCACCATAATCTGGACCAGTTTTCTTTTTGTAGAAATATCAAAGCTGAAAGTCTTAACGGAAAGGAAAACGAAATTTACAGTAGAGATAACGTTTAAGAAACGAAAAGAAGAACCGAATTTAGATTGTTAAGCAATAAACAACAAAAGTCTCGATCATTTGCAAACCTCCTGATTCATATCAACCATACAAATCAATCAGTTAAAATATGTATGAGACTTCGTTTATTATGATCTTGATGTTTATTAGACATAATTTATTCATTATGATTAACACTTTAAATTATAAAACAACGGTGGTTTTTTATAAAACCAATTATTCAATATAACAGTTGATAGGTTGACGGTTTATGAATTAAAAGTGGTTTGGAAATAATGTATCAACTAAGGGTGTTCATGTGTTGGCTTGATCGGGTTGAACACATTTGAACGAAAAAACTTAACCCAACCCGAACCAAAGTGCAACCCGACTCAACCTAATCAAACCGTATCCGGTTGATATATTGGTACATTAAAATATTCTTTTAACCTTGAATATGTTATTTATCTATTCATAATTTATTTTTCATCATCAACCGTTTGATACAACTTATCCATACTTCTTAAATCTTACGTATATCACATTCAATTAATTTTCTTAACTTACATATATATGTTCACAGTTACTAAACATATATACGAATGAGTTATATAGAGATGGAGAATAGATTGAAAATATGTATGTATGAAGAGGGTATATGATAGTGTTAATTGTCTAACGTATATATTAATAGAAACTCAACAATCATATTAAATCCAAGAAATACAAGAATATCATGTTCGTCGGGTTGTAATTTGGTTCAAATGATAGTATCCCAATTTCAACCCAATATCTACAGTTTGAAAATTTTATAACTTAATTAGACATCAGGTTGAGATATTTTATGTTGGGTGGCCTTTTGAGCACCCATGCCTAAGAGCATATCCAACATGTATGCTATATTTTTTTTTAAATCTGGAAAATTTTCACTCTCTTTTATTTATTTATTTTGAAGAAGAATTTAACATAACTGTTAAATTAAACATCTTAAATATGTATGCGATACTTTTAGATGTTTAATGAAAAAACGAGTGTCCAAATAAGAACGATAACTAATTAAAAACATAACATAAAAAAAATTGGCTACTACTTTAATCTCTCTCAACAAAAATACAATAAATAAATATTATAATCAACATCGACATAACAAACATTTTAGGGACTATTTGACAGTTGCTGAATGGTGTGGTGCAAAATAATTAAGTGGTCAGAATGATTAAGAGACTCTCATGATATAATACAAAATGAAATATAATTGTTTGCTGAATGGTTAAGAGAGACCCATGATACAAAATCAAAGAGTTTTGGAACCATTAAGAGACATATCTTCTTTTTTTACCAAACGAAATTCATTTCTTTACGATTCAAAGATTGTCTCTTAATGAAACTATTAAGAGATAAACAAACAGCCTCTTATATTAATAACAAGTAATTATTATTGAACAAAAATTGTACAAAAAAATTATTGTATTGTTTGGAAACAACCGAAAATGGAAATTAATGAAGGGAAAATTCCAAACCAAAATTCTAATGAAAATGGTTAAGTGGGCCTATAAAATGGGCTCAAGCTCCAATACTTTCCCTTCTTTTCTTGAAAGTAGCAACTTCGCATCTTTATTTTATTTTAGTAGTATAATTTAGAATTGTGTAGAAATTCATCTGATTCAATTTAAAAATGACTGATTCAATTAGTATCGGCTGGTCATAATAAGATATTCAATTGTAATTGAACCGGATTGGATTCTAAATCGTCATCCAAAAACGGGTCTAACCGGGGGTTGACCAGGGTTCGACAATATTTTGACTGAGAACGAGATGTTAATCCCATAGCCGCTGGGGACCGGGGCCAGGGGCTGTGACTATAAACCGTAAAAGTGGGGCCAGGGGTTGTGCCTAAATCATCTAATTACCCATACAATTATAAATTATCGACATTTTATGATATTGATTTTCTGGTTGGCATAATAAAAAACCACTTTCAGATTGCATTGGCTGAAAACTGTATCAAAATATTTTGTGAATTCAATCGATAATAATTAATAGTAACATCCAATAACTAGAACCGACTGATGCAATCATCCATTGGATTAGATCAGATGTCCAATGTTATTTGGATTGGATTGAATCGAATGACAAAATCCAACATCTATTGAATGATTGGATTGAATCAGATTCATTTAAATCCATTAGATTACGATCGACGAATGGAAACTGATTTCCAGGCAGCAACCTCAAATAGATCTTGACCTCCACACTAATCCGACCAATAAATCTTGAACACATTGGCTCGTTTCGAAATCCAATGAATCGTAAGGAGCTGGAGCTCAAATAGACGGTGAATATCAGTGTTTCTCCAATTAAAAAAAAACTTATTATTATGATCGCAAAATCAAACAACTGAGGGGTTGTTTGTTTACCTCTTAATAGTTCTATTAAGAGACAGTCTCTGAATTGTTAAGAGGTGAATCTTGTTTGCCAATTTTTTTTTGCCTCTTTAATGGTTCTAAAACCATGTGAATGATTTTGTATGAAGTGTCTCCCCTAACCATTCAACGCCCTAATTCCGTTGTAAATAATTATCAAATAATTATATTTTATTTTGCACTATATCATGAGAACCTCTTAATCATTCTGACCAGTTAATCATTCTGCACCAAAGCATTCAGCAACTATCAAACAACTCATTAGGTTCAAAGTCGTCCGATACGTATTTAAATACTAACATTTTAAACCGAACCCATCAAAAAAATTACATTATTATGCTAAATAACATAGTTTTGTAATCATATTTAATACATTAATCATATATATAAAATATCGGGAAAAAAAGTATGGACGGGTCTATCGAACCCGACTCGACCTATCTGTTTTGTTCGTTAATAGGGGCATAATCGTCAATAAAAAAAATTATAACTTCAATACCTAACTATTTTTGCCATTATATTTGTTTTGTAATTGGAATAAGCTTCAACCATTGGCTTTGTGGGTTCTCTTCACATCTTGAAACATCCCTCAAATTATCATCTAAACACAAACACTTGTTGGTGACAATTCTTGAGGTCAAAGGGTCAACTTCTAAGCACAAATGGTTCCCTTGGTTGTCTTTTGAAGCCAAATGATGGTTTGTGACCGACACGAAGTTCCACGAACTCTGAGGACTCGAGCAGTCGTCGTGGTCGGAAACGACCGGTGGCAAGCCCTGGCTGATGGTTGTTAAGCAACAGTCTGTTTTTGTTAATTTGATTGGGCCACCATCTTGTGTGTGATCCCATCGGCTGGCGTGTCGACAGTTTGTCATGGAAAGAACATCATCACTTGCTTCGACACACTGACCGCTTAGAGGGTGATACAAGACGTAAGATGTCGAGTCGCTTGATGCAATTGAACCTGTGGAATTTTGAGCATCTTCAGTAGATTCTCTGTGATTTCTCTTGGAAATATATGCGAAATTAACAGAATTATACCTTGTATGTTTGTCTGAACAAAGTGTAACCGCTCTAACGTAGTAGAATTTCTAAGGTTTTCCCATTTGGAATCATACATTCCAAACACATCTTCGTGATCGACAATCCCTTCTCGAAGCATGAAACTTCCCGGCAATTGCCACAACGCCCAATCAATGTCGTTCTCAGCTATTGTCGCCAGCACGCAAACGAAATAACGATTCTCCATCTCATTTCCACCCCTCTGATCTAACCCGAATTCACTCAGAAAAAGAGGAACTGGGTTTTCATCCGTTCGAAACAAAAACCCAGAATTGTCCATGAACAATTTCGTCATGTTGGCACAATACTCGTTCGTTTGGAAAATCCATTTTTCAGGCGGTTGGCCGAACGGGTACCAATGTGCCTCAAAGACTATCTTGTTATCCAAGTCAATTGTTAGGGGTTGACTTTTCAAGAACCCGAGATTTGTATCGTATGACAAACCCGAGAAAATCACGAGAATGTCAGGGTTCTCGTGATGAATTGCAACCGCGCCCTGTTGCATGTACTTATACCAGGCGGTCACGTTTTGACGTCGGCCCCGCAACTCGTTTCGCATGCTCATAGCCACTACCTAAAACGTAAAGTAACATTTATTAATGCATATAAAAAACGTGTTAAAAAACCATAAAATATGATTACTTTTTAATCCTTTAAAAAACCATATTTTGTATAAATAAATAAAAAATCAAATTTTCCCACAATTATAAGAGTGAAAAAAAAAATGAAAAAATTAACTAAAATACCCATCATTTAATTGGACTTATGTTTATGATTGTTTATTTGAAATAACTTATGTTTTTCTATAAAAGTTCTTATCAACTTATTATAAGTTATAATGGTTTAACTTCTTTAAAAACTTCTTATTACCGGTTTGGCACCAGTATAAGTTGTTTATCCGAACACTTAAAAGTGCTTATTACCGGTGTTACACCGTTATAAGTCAATAAGTTGTTTTTATAAACAATCCCAAACACACCGTTAATAGAAAAACATAATCACTATTGGTGGAAACAGGGACGGACCTAAGTCCTAAGTGGTGCATAAGTGGCACGTGCCACCGTATTATTCTTTCTAAAGAATTTAGAGTCGTGAAAGGTGCAACCGTATTAATTTGTTGTGTACCCTCGTATGTATTCTGAAACTACAATGAGAACAAGTTTTATTTGGTAGAGTTGGTTTGCAAGGTTTTTATTACACTGAGACCCAAGTTCAAATCATGTTAGTGTCATTTTATTAGCCAAATGGTGCCACCATTTGAAAAAAATTCCCTATATTTTTTTGCTTATAGTCAAATGGTCTCATCGTTTGAAATTTTTTCTAAATGATGGAAACCAATAGATTTTGCAAATGTCATGAACGGATTTAAAATAAATGAAGTTTATGAACGAGTTTATATTGAAATCAACAATCGAAAGAACGAGTTTTCTCACAAACGAGTACACATTCGACTTTCGAATCATAAGACGTACCGAAGGATTGTTTTTATACCGACCAGCAACGGCGACCAACCCTTGAACCCATTCATCAGGATCGAAATTCTCGTCCCCGAAAAACCCATTCCCGTCGTTTTCACCACAACACCATTGTGGCAAACTTACGTGATTATCGAGCATAACCATCAAATTCCCTTTTCCCAGTTCATTAACGACGGCATTCTGAGCTTCTACCACGCTCATTTCCAACACCTCCGGGTTGTTTTTCGCGACACCATCTTTAACAACGGTCAAATTCCACCGATCCAACGACTCCGAAACCGTAACGTTCGAGTATCGAGTATACATATAAGTCGCCCACGTTAATCGCACACAGTTAAACCCCATCTCGCCAGAAATGTCCGATACGATTGCCTTCATCGGCTTCTTGTTTAGACCCTCCGGGATCATAACGTGGAGGTGTCCCGGCCAGTTTACGCACGCCAGTTTCCGGCGGTCGCCGGAGTTTTGGTCGACGATCCACCGGGATGATGTGGAAAGCGGAAAAGAATGAGAAGGGAAGACAAAGAAAACGAGAAGGAAGAAACAGGTGGGAGGTAAAGGCATGTTCAGAGAGACAGAAAATGGTCTACTACTCTACTGCTGGTTGGCTTTATGTAGGGCTTTTTTGCGACGGAGTACAGCTGTCACGAAAAGTCGTTTTTAAGCGTTGACGTTCATGAAGAACTTTTTGCGACGCTTTTATTTTACTTGCATTCACGGGCTTTTACTATTCACTTTAAGATTCGTACTTTTATTTATTACATTTGTTTAATTTAAAATTCAAATAGAAATTTTCAAAATACATATATTTATGAAATCAGATATATGTTAAACTAAATGGACGGTTAAGATTAATTTATAATATTTCCATGTTTTGTATTTGATATGTTCTATACATATACAGGGTTGGGTTCTAGACAAGTTATTGTGAGACGAGTAAGAAAGATGATCTCTACCCTTAAATAGATACTAATTGAAGATCAACATTAATGAGATGTACCAAAATAAGTCAGATCAATTCCCTTTTAAATCGTCAATTTATGGTGGACATGAGATTAAATGTGATCAAAGGTGAAGATTTCTTTTTACACTTCTCACCTTAATTTTTTTTCTCACATGATCCTTCATCTCTCTCTCTCTTTATATATATATATATATATATATATATATCTTTATATCTGAATTCGTGTAACTAACTGTAAATAAACATAATCAAATATATGATAAACATCTCATTTTAAATATAAAAATCTAAAATATAATTAGGATAATCATTGAGTTCTAACAGAATACTTAATTATTATCTTTATAAAATATTATATTAT